TATATATATATATATACATATTTTTGCATGAGACACAACCTGCGGCTCAATGAGCCGCATGTTTTTATTTATACAGGAGCAACATCCATCATGAATCAGCCATGACCATGACAAGACGGCGTGCGGCTCAGTGAGCTGCGTGATGAACATGCGATCGGAGCATGAACTCGATTTCAAGTTTAAGAAACAAAGTGCAAAAAGATAAGACACGATTTAATCAGGTTTTGTAAAAATGAAAAACTTGAACTTTGATATCTCAAAAAGGTTAAGTTCCCTAAGTTAGTTATAACTTATTTTTGAATAATTTTTGATAATCTAGATATAGAACTTAGAAATTTCTATCTTTTGCTAACTAACTTGCAAGTGCCACATCTTAACATAAAAAACTTGTGCTAGTTACAGAACTTGTAACCCCTTCGTAACTAAGTTACCAACCACTTACAAGATACTTACAAGTTCCCTAGCCAAAACGGAACCAAGTAGTGGCCTGCTGAAACCACTCAGGGCTCGGGCGTTGGGTTTCGGTCGTGGGTTGCGATGCGAGCAGGATCTCAAAATGCATTCGCGATGTCGACAAGTAGTCGACAAAGAGAATGCCAACACTGTGATTCTTCTCGATATGCATCGAATGATAGAGCTAGCGTTAGGCAATGCGAGGCTTGCGTGATAGAATGGTGCGTAACACCTCCAATCTGTAGTTGCAGCCGCTGCCGCTCAAAAATGGGGCCGAGCTTTTGCCTGCAGTAATTTGTGCATAGAGTTGGGTCGCCCCTTCTTGTGCGCTGGCGTCAGACGTCCGCCCTTGTGGATCAAGGCCTCTCTGCCATACAGCATCTCCTTCAAGAAAAGGATACAAAAGGCGAGACATGAGTCCTGGCAGGTTTTTGCCTGGGACCCCATGCATCTTGAAAGAAGGCCTTGTTTCGCTTGCATCGGCGCAGTTGGAGTTCGATCTCTAGTCGGGATGGCAAGTGGCTCCAGTCAATATCTGGCTCTATAGGACCCTATCTTGATTATCGCATTGCTCCATGAGCCTATGAAGGGATGTTGGCAGCTATTCTTCCTTTTGCCTTTTTGATCTTCTGCATCAACTTCTTCTGAGCATTCTGCAGTTGCTTCTGCTCGGACTGTAGTCCACTCATCGGTCCAATCTCGAGGACCTGACCAATTTCCGGTGTAAACTTGATGGTATTTGGCAACCTGCTCTTGGACTTCCTTCACATCTGGCCGTGAGGCTGCTGGCAATGGCGCCAAGGACGAGTAGGACGGGAACTCGACACCTTTGTCTCCTTCTTTGGGATTGGGATTGGTCTTTTTGACATTCTCCTTCTGCTTGTCCTTCTCCCATTGGCCATTGCCCTTGCCTTTCGGCCCCCATGCACCACTCCAGTAGCCTTGGCCTTTGTGGCCCTTCCCTGGTCCCCATCCCCCCATAGGAGTGTAGGTGTGGTGCTGTTCCAAGATCGTCTTGGCCGCCTGCAAGCGGCGTGCTCTTCCCCAAGGCTCCGCTTAGTCTATCAATGGACTAAAATAGACTTGTTGGTTATAATAGTATATATATAAGTTTTTTAAGGCTATCATCAAAAAGATGATAAGGTATAGATATCTGATTTTTTTTGAGCGCGCATGTTTCTCCAACTTTTCTATCGTTTCTGACGGTCTGACAGCGCAGTTTCCTGTACTCGAGAACTTTGCTGAATCATTCGTTCGTTCAAGTTGTCAAACCACTTTTTGATAGTTTTCCTCCGCAGTTTCAGATTTTGGGTGCAATTTCCTCCGCTTTCGGTGTGCGATGGCTACCGTGTTGGTGCACGCTCGGGAAATCAAGCAGCTCTCCAATGACAGTTTCCCAGATAGCGAGGAGCTGGCGGAGCAGGTTGAGAACTGGAGGAACATCATTTTGTACTACTTGGAGGCAGAGCAGCAGCATGCTGCAAAGATCTATTTGGAGGATATGGCCAAGACGTTGGTGTATGTGCGGATGATGGTCCGAGGCGATGATGTCTCTCAGAAGCTCCACGGAGTGCAATTTTACCGAGCTCCACTGCCAGCAGGCTTCACGTTCATGAATCTTGCCCCTCCAGTGCACCCGGATGAGGTGCTGATGAAGGCGGAAATTAAACAGTGTGTGAATTTCATGCTGCGCTTCAAGCGGCTTCGCGCACATTGGTCTGCTTTCTTTTCATCGATGTGCCACGTCCTGCGCTAATCCATGGACGCGTGGAATGGGACCCATGGACATATAGCGTATAAGTGGTGAAACAATACGACCTTGCTGCTTTAATGTTGCCATTTCTCAGTGTTTCCATTTCCTTTCTGAGAGTGAGGGTTTCCATTTCCTCTCTGAGAGTTTTCACGTTTTTTTCGATGTCCTTTCCGAGAGTTTGTGAGGGTTTCCATCAGTTTCCTTTCTGAGAGTTTGCATTTCCTTTTTCGATTCCCTTTCCGATCTTTTGTGAGGGTTTCCATTTCCTTTCTGATAGTTTTCGATATCGATTTCCTTTCTGAGAGTTTGTGAGGGTTTCCATTTCCTTTCTGAGAGTTTTCACTGTGTTTTTCGATGTCCTTCCTGAAAGTTTGTGAGGGTTTCCATTTCCTTTCTGAGAGTTTTCCTTTTTTGTTTTCGATTTCCTGTGTCGGTTTTCGTCTTTCTGTCTCAGAGTTGAAGGTTTTCTTTTCTTTTCTAATTGTTTATGAAGGTGTCCATTTCGATTCTGAGTTCATGAAGGTGCCATTTCCTTGATGTTGTTTTCGAGTTTTTTTTCATTCATAGAGGTGAGTTTCCACGTCCATTTCTTGTTCTTGGAAGAGTCCGTTCATATTTTTTTCACGCTATAGCCATTTTGGCTATAGCAATTTTCCAAGCTTAGACTCTTTCGCGGCATGGCGGACGCTCGCGAGACCGAAGCTGCAGCTTTGCAAGCTGCTGCGGAAGCGCATGAGCAAGCCTTTGGACATGGAGGTCCAGGCCAGGTGTCGGAGAACGAAGAAAAGGAAGACTTGCCCGTGCTGAAGAGACCCGCAAGCAAGAATGCTCCCAAAGGGAAGCCAAAGGGCAAAGCCAAGAGTAAGGGCAAGCCTAAGACTTCGCCTAAGCCGAAAGTGAAGTCCTCGAAGGAACAGGACAAGGATGCAGGCGAAGACTCGACCAAGCCCCTTAAGCGCAAGCACGAGGATGCAGGGGAAGACCCCAAGGGCAAGAAAGCCAAGGGTGAAGCGCCTGAACCAAAGGGCGGCAAAGATGAGGACAACGACAAGAAGAAGAAAGGCAAGGCGAAGGACAAAGACGAAGAGCGGGCCAAGAAGCTTCAGTTGGAAGAGCCGGAAGAGCCGGCGCCTGAAGAGTCGGCTGTTGAGGCGGCTGAGGAGCCTGAGCACCGAGACCCGAAGAAGGCTTGGTACTTCAACAAGGTGTTGAGCACCATGCCTGAACCCGTGCAGGCATTGTTCCGGTCTACCACCATCAGCCGCAAAGAGAAAACGAAGCTAGTGCATGCTTGCGTCGGCAAAGATGACAAGGGCAAGTGGGTGTCAACGCCCAACAACGCTGTCGTGGAGAGCGTGAGCAACATGTACTCAGAGCTCGTTGGTCGTGAAAAGGCGAAAGGCATGCCGAAGGCCTTGATGCTGGGCCGACTCGGCGGGGGCGAAGAAGCCCTGGTGATGCCAGGAAGGCCTTGCAAGCTTGCGCAGGAACAGGCCAAGGAG